GGGTTTCACCATGTTGACCAGGATGGTCTCGATCTCTTGACCTTGTGATCCACCCGCCTCGGCCTCCCAAAGTGCTGGGATTACAGGCGTGAGCCACCGCGCCCGGCCCAACATGGCAATCTTTTGAAGTTTATCGTGACTGATCTTATAGTCCAGCCTATAGTCTATTGTGGGGGCTGTTCATGTACATGAATAGAATGTAATTTTTCAATTTTTGGTATGATGTTCTTTAAAGAACAATTAGGTCATGTTGACTGGTGTGGTTGCCATCTTCTATAAAGTTGTCCCTTGCTATCCACAGGGTACTGGTTCCAGGACACCTTGTGGATACCAAAACCTGCAGATGCTCAAGTCTGTTACATAAAATGGTGCAGTATTTGCATATAACCTATGCACATTCTTCTGTACACTTTAAATCATCTCTAGATTTTTTTTTATAATACCTAATAAAATATAAATGCTGTGTAAATAATTGTCATACTGTATTTTAAACTTTGTATTATATTTTACTATCATTGTGTTTTTTCCTGAATATTTGTGCATTGCCATTGGTTGAATCTGCGTATATGAAGAGCTCATATATGCTACTGAATTTGACTACAATGCTATCAATTACTGAAATATAATTGTAGATTTCCAATTATGCTTGTGGATCTATTTCTTTTGTTCTGTTAGTGTCTGCTTCATTTAATTTAACACTCTCATTATAGGTTCATACCAGCATACATATTCCTGATGAACACATAGAGTCATGTGCCACATAACAACATTTTAGTCAATGATGGACACATATCCAATGGTGGTCCCATAAGATTACAATGGAGCTAAAAAATTCCTGTCACTTACAGACGTTGTCATGCAACATATCACTCACGTGTTTGTGGTGATGCTGGTGTAAACCTACTGTGTTTCCAGCTGTATAAAAGTATAGCATATACAATTATGTATAGTACATAATAGGTAATAATAAATGATTATGTTACTAGTTTATATATTTATTGTACTATTTGTATTATTATTTTAGACTGTACTCCTTCTACTTATTAAAAAAAAAGGGCAACTGTAAAACGGCCTCAGGAAAATCCTTCAGGAGGCATTGTTTTCATGGGAGATGATCACTTCATGCATATATTGACCCTGAACACGTTCCAGTGGGACAAGATGTGGAGGTAAAACACAGTGATATGGATACTGTTGACCCTACGTAGGCCCAGGCTAAAGTGTGTGTGTCTTTGTTTTTAATAAAAAAGTTTAAAAATAAACATTTTTAAAATATAAAATTTTTAAATAGAAAAAAGCCTATAGAATAAGGACATAAATATTTTTGTGTTGCTATGTAATGTGTGTTTGAAGTATTATTCAAGTAATAAAGATAAAAAACAGCAAGTTTATAATGTAAAAATATTACAGGAAGCTAAGGTTAATTTTTTATTGAATAAAGAAAACTTTAAAAAATAAATTTAGTGGCTGGGCGCGGTGGCTCACGCCTGTAATCCCAACACTTTGGGAGGCCAAAGCGGGTGGATCACGAGGTCAAGAGATCGAGACCATCCTGGTCAACACGGTGAAACCCCGTCTCTACTAAAACTACAAAAAATTAGCTGGGCATGGTGGTGCGTGCCTGTAATCCCAGCTACTCAGGAGGCTGAGGCAGGAGAATTGCCTGAACCCGGGAGGCGGAGGTTGTGGTGAGCCAAGATCGCGCCATTGCACTCCAGCCTGGGTAACAAGAGCGAAAACTCCGTCTCAAAAAAAAAAATAAAATAAATAAATAAATAAATAAATTTAGTGAAGCCTAAGTACTGCTTGTAAAGTCTATAGTAGTGGACAGTAATGTCCTATTCCTTAGCATTCTCACAGCTCACTCACCCAGAGTGATTCACCCAGAGCGACTCACCCAGAGCTTCAGTCCTGCAAGCTCCATTCATGGCAAGTATCTCATATCTTTGTGCCATTTTAAAATATTTTAGTCAGGGCCGGGCGCGGTGGCTCAAGCCTGTAATCCCAGCACTTTGGGAGGCCGAGGCGGGTGGATCACAAGGTCAAGAGATCGAGACCATCCTGGTCAACACGGTGAAACCCCGTCTCTACTAAAAATATAAAAAATTAGCTGGGCATGGTGGCGCGTGCCTGTAATCCCAGCTACTCAGGAGGCTGAGGCAGGAGAATTGCCTGAACCCAGGAGGCGGAGGTTGCGGTGAGCCGAGATCGCGCCATTGCACTCCAGCCTGGGTAACAAGAGCGAAACTCCGTCTCAAAAAAAAAATATATATATATATATATATTTTAGTCAGTATTTTTACTGTACCTTTTCTATGTTTAGATACACAAATACCACTGTTTCATAAATGCCTATAGCATTCAATACAGTAATATGCTATACAGGTTTGTAGCCTACGAGCAATAGACTATATACCATATAACCCAGGTATGTAGTAGGCTACCCCACTTCTGTGTCAGTGCACTCTGTGATGCTTGCATGATGCAATTACCTAATGACACATTTTTCAGAATGTATCCCTGTAGTTATGTGACAAATGCATATGCAAATTCCCAATCACCTGCTCTTTTATGATCGTTACCTCTTTATCTCCTGCTACCTACATTGTTTTTAAGTCTATTATCACATATTACTATTGCCACATCAACTTTGTTATACTTAATGTACATCTTTTTCTTGACCAATTTTAAGTAGAACTACACATGAAATCTCACAGACATTAGGGTAAACTAAAAGAGAAATGTGGAATTCTGGAACTGACAATTAAACAACTGACTGGAAAGGACACCAGCAAATTTTCTGGTGGTGCTGGTGTTGTAAACCAAAAATAAAATCCTAAGCATTCCCCAGGCCATCTGAATGGACCCCTCCCCTTGGCCAGGGCATTCCTAACCTGAAAAACTAGTAAAGCCATGATGGAAAGGCGGTGGTGGGTGGGTCGGACATGCTTTATTATACCCTCCTTCATTTTGGAATTACTGATAGAAAAGACTCCAAGTCTGAAAAGAAACATAATCTGTTCTCTGTGAAGCCTGCTATCTGGAGGCTTCACATGCAAGATGAAATCTTGGTCCCCACAACCCCCTATCTTAACCCAGACATTCCTAAGTCTTTAGTCAATAACTCTTTCAACCTATTGCCAATCAAATAATCTTTGAATCTACCTATGACCTGGAAGACCACCCACCTTCCAGTTTACCGCCTTTCCCGGGGGGATCAATGTACATTCTGCATGTATTTAATTGGTGTCTCATGTTTCCCTAAAAGGTATAAAACCACATATATCGCAACCACCCTGGGCACAGGTTCTCAAGATCTCCCGAGGGCTGTGGCACCGGCCACTGGTCACTCATATTTAGCTCAGAATAAATCTTTTCAAATATTTTAAAGTCTTTTCGTCAACAATGTAAAAAACACGAACTAGGGTGGACACACACACACACAGCGCCCGCTACCTGCTAGATTCCATTCTGGGGCTTTCTTATGGTACAAAACGGACAAAAACTCCCAGTCACCCTCAGGTTCACGACCACGGATCACAGAGTGGAGCAAAACCTTGCCCGACCCAGGATCCGAGTTCTTAGCTCGATACTCCCCAGCCGAAAGCCGGTACCCGCTTCAGGCCTTCCCAGCCTTGCCCTCCGATTCCTTCTTCGGCCTCCCTCAGCCTGGAGTCCGGGTTTTCTCCCCGGCTGAGCACCTAGGTCGGCGACTCCTTTTACCCTCCCCGGTCCGGGCTTCTGGTTCCAGAGGTGGAGCGGGGGCCACCCAAACTTCCGCGGCTCCCCCACGGCCAGCCTTGACCCAGCTTCCTGTTCCCCATTCTGCCCTCCCCAGCGCAGGTTCTCGATTACTTCCTAGACTTCACCTTGCAGTCGGGGACCACCAGCTGCCTCTCCCGCGCCTGGAAGACGCGCAGCGGCAGCCTCCGCCGAAGACAAGGGTCTGCGCACTCGGAAACGACAGAAGTCTGCTGCGTGGTCCGGCCCCTGCGGCCAGCCGGCTCCACTTGACCATCAGGCCGCTTTCGTTACTGGACTACGTTTCCCACAGGCTCCAGGGCCGCGGATGAACTTCGACCTTTGCTTCCCTTTCCGGTGGTGTCGTGGTTTTTGAGTTAAGCCTGGTGAGTCGAAGTGACCTGGGCCGGGCTGCGGGAGGAGCTCGCGGCGAAGTGGCCCCCTGCAGCCGGGCAAGGTCGGTCCACGTGGAGCCGGGAGCCTCAGGCCTCTGTACACAGAGCTGCAGACGATGGTTGTTGGTGCTGTTATTTGTTACGGCGTCATTGTGGTGTGTGTGTATGTGTGCGTGTGCGTGTGTGTGTGTGTGCGCCGTGGCTTCTGTTTGATCTGGCTTATAGGACGGTGAGTAGGGGCGGGGTCTACCGTGTGACAGCACCGTTGTGACCAACTATAAATGTGAACGGGGTGGGGGGTTTTGTTTTTGTTTCTCCATGAGCCTGTAGGAGTTTGTTTTGGGTACAGCGTCATTTTTCCGACACTGCGTTGTCTGTGATGTAATCTCTTCGTGAGGTCTTAGACACACACACACACACACGCATATATATAGATAGATACAGATTAGATAGATTACATAGATAGATTAGATAGATAAATGAAGTTGAAGTTTCCTGGGAAGAGATGAGGGAGGAGGCATAGGTGTAGTATTCATTCCTGGGATCACTCCCCTTGCATGCATTTGGAGGTCATTTATACATTAAAGAACTACAGTATTTCCTGAGCTGTGTCCCCTAGAAACTTCTGTGAACTTAAGAGTACAGCTGTAGGCATTGGTTGTACCTTTTTCTCTGACACCGGCAGGAGTCGACAGTATTCTAGTTTCCCTCTTCGATCTGGGTGTGTTTGTTGTATGTGGATCTTTTCTGGTGGTGAACGATGTGTTCTTATTTTAACTAGTCCAGGATGTCATGACCCCTTTCTCCCTCTTGGTTATGTAGTTCTGCAAGTGAAGGCCCCCTGAAGTGGAAGACAGCATTGGTACTTATTTATAATGGCCAACTCAAGGTTAGTTTTTTTGTTATGTCAGATATATTTTCTTTCCTGCCTTTCTTCCACCGTCCCTCCCCCCACCTTGTCTTTCACAGAACATAGACTGCTTCCTTCTCCAAAACTGTTCTAATTGTGACCTGTTGATGTACTTGGTCCCTTAGCAGTCCCTTCCCAATTAACAAGACCGTAAAGATGGGTCCCCTTGTCCTCCAGTGCCTTTCCAATGCCCATTTCCTTTTCATTGAATATTCACATACCCATGAGATAAATCATTCAATTCCCCCATTTGCTCTTTTTTTCCCAAAGGATTCTTACGGTATAGAAATACAACTCCTGGAGAAGTTAAATACTTTTTTAAGAATGTAATTTGTTGAGGAGGAGATGAGTGATTACATAGAATAGCACACTAGATACCTTTGATCTTATTTACAGACTTGATTTGCAAACAAAGCAAGATATGAGATGGTAGATATCAATCAGTAAGTGACAATGTTGGCTTTGGAGACATTTGGAGACTTGTAAATTAACTCTCTGGGTAAGGAGAGCCCCAGTGTGAAGAGTTGGCAGATTTCTATGGTATAAACACAACTACCATGGTCTTTTCCAAGCTTCCAAGCATGAGGTCAATGAATACGAGAGCTGGGGAGAGATGGTACAATTAGCTGGTGTGAGCTGGCTTAAGTCAGCCGCAGCACAGCTCTGCTGAGCCTGACTTTAATTGGGCATGTACTTTGTGCCAATAACTTGACATGCATGAACTCATTTAATACACACAGCAACTCTGTAAGGCAGGAACTGTTATTATTGAGGCTTAAAAGGAATTAGTTCCTTGCTGAAGTAGCAGAGCCAGAATTTGAATAGGAGTTTTGTGTGGGGAAGGCTATGTCAACAAGGGCAGGGAATTTTTCCAGAATATTCATGAGATTTAAGTGGTGACAACCAAATATTGTTTGATTGGCAGTGTGACTGACTCAGACAACATATTGGTGTAGATTGTGAGAGGCAGCCTGATACTGTGGTATTTGAGTCTAAAGCAGCACAGTCTAATGCAAATATAAAACCACTGAGGCAATATAAAAATTTCCATTAGAGGGCCGGGCGCGGTGGCTCAAGCCTGTAATCCCAGCACTTTGGGAGGC